ACAAAGTCCCATCCAACATATAATGACACACCAGTCACAAGATGATAATACTTATGAACAAATTATTGAACAACCCCATACCACCGCTTTTCAGTCTCAAAATAATCATTTTTTTAGCCCACGATGAGCCGCCAACTTGGATCACTACACCGATCAAATTCCCACCCAACCAATCTTACCTCTCCAATCCCAATAATACCACTTTTTGCTTTTCCGCCACCCGATTTTTCACCTAGTAATGTAACATCAGGCATGAATTCCGACACTAATTCACACATCTCAGTTTTATATTCCATCTCACAACTCAATAACCCGAATATTGAAACCCCCGATGAATTTGCCGACTCAGAACCATCCCCATCCAATAATTTTCATAACTCTTCTAATTTTTCTCAACCCCCTTTTCAACCCATATTATCCAATAACCCTGACCCAATCACTCCCACACCCTCTTATGCTTCCCAAGTTACCCCAACCTACTCCTCATACCATTCTGACCAATCATCTCATTCTCCAGACACCCCCCGAATCTCCCCAGAGCTAGATAATTTTATTACCCTTCAACAACAACCCTACCACCTTAATACCCCAACCATAAACCAAATCTCCTCCACAATAAATTCATCCAACCCCCCTACCCCTACACCCTCTTCAAATTATACTGAATCATTAGCACCATCATCCACATCAACTGAATCTTCACTCAACACTAATAGAGCTTACCGCACTTTTAAAAGAAAGTTCCCCAACCATCCTTTCCCAGCAAAACCAGGAACAGCCCGTGAATACATCAACCACCCCAAGCATACTAACACAAAAGAATTTTTAGCCATCACCTTACCCTCATTCCCACAATACACCTTAAACACCCCCCACGACACTAACGAAACACGCAACTTTGTAGATGAATACGTTTTAATGCCCACTCTCTCTTGGACCTCATATTATCATTTTACTAACCCTCTTTGCTTACCTTTATCTAACACTCACATCGATATAGAGCGAAATACGGACATGCTATATCGACTCACTACACCACTAACACCTAGACAATTTACTTACGTTGGATATAAAAAATCACTAAAAACACACACTGCACCTAGAGCTAACGAATATACACTCGAATACTATGATCACAACATCATCAGAGCTAACCAAGATCAATTCTTAGACGACGATCGCTTCGCTAATCCACAAATTACCGAGAAATTTTTCATCAAGACACCATATACATTCACACTAAACATCTTCGACCGAAAGTTTGATCACATTATTTCAGAAGCACTAACAGACACACAAGCATACGAAAGTTTTAAAGAACGCTTCCAAATATTTTCACTAACCTTTCATTTCCTTGCACCACACGAAAGAGATTTACACTGCTCACACGATATTATGTTGCGCACTAAACAAACCCACACATATAGTTATTATCGCTTCATCCAAAATCACTTTGACCTACACACACCCTCTAGACAACCACACCATCGTTTTCAATTCATTAATTCCAAATACACTTCACCATTTTTCCTAAATTTCACATATTGCATTAAAGATACTAACCTTCATGGTATTCTTCGCAATTATGATCCCATAACCCAAATGTACATCTTCTGTCCCATCACCAAGACCTTCAACGCCGAAGAATCCCGACCCTTCCTTATCCCGCACGAGTTTGTACAACCTATAGAAATCCCAATTTTAGAATTCATCCACAACACTAAATTCAATCACAAATTATATAATCTAATCCAAAACACACCTTATGAGTTTGCAGTTGGCACTGAAGAACTAACCACTATTAAGGCACTTCAATTGCTTTGGCCACTGCTTCAGACTAAAAATATCATCCGCATTCTAGCTAAACTACTAACAACTTCAGAACTAATTCACGACATCTTCCCCCACGGTTTTTTCCCCGACGACTAACAGGTAAGTATGAATTAAGTAAATATTACTAACTAATTACAGTATTAAAAACTCACCATTCTTTATTCATGTTTTCCTTAGATTTTTAGCTTTCATCCGACAATCACCTACAAAAACCACAAAAGAAACAATAAAAATCACAATTCTCATCAAACAATTTTCAAATTCTATTAATCTCTTACACTTATAAATTTCTAAATTTAATATCAATGCAGTAAATTCATCTATAATATTTTCCCCCAAAGCAATAAATCTAATTATGATGAAAATTTGTATCTTAATATTCCCCCATGACTAGCAGTAAATTTCTAAATTCTATGTAGTAAATTAAATAAATGCAAATGCAGTACTAACCTTTTGATATTTTCATTCATTCGCACAGAAATTCTATCCACACTCGCACAGCTCGCCCACGAAGAATTGTTTAAAATAATGAATTTCAGTTTCAAGTTTTCACACTCAACAACTCTAACATAAAATAACATGTTTCAAATTTTTCTTTAACCCGGTTGGAAAGGAATCATATACTAAACAAAACTAACCAACGCAGCTTACTAAATACCACAAATCATAGAATAACAGCATGACTTAGAAAAGGAAACCAACGGTACCCAAACCGGATTAACCCAGTTTAAAACTGGATAATTTATTCTTTTGAAGACTATTACAAAGTCTTAGAAAGAAATAATAAAACACAAAAAAGTCGAAAGACAAACCCATACCACAAACAATTTGCTTTTTGGAAAAAGTACATAACCAACAAGACATAAGTAAGACCACAACAAACCCAACATAAAACGTTGTCACATAACAGGACCCCTCACAAAAACCGCATGAAATCATACTCCCACTCCTGGCCTAACCCACCAGGAAGGACGTCCTGAGCATGCTCTATAGCCGGCCTAACCCACCGCGCTACATCCACGCTTTGTGACCACACCTCTATTTTTAATAAGAGCTACTCAAGGGTGAGTAACTCTTCAAAATAACCGAACTAAAACAAAAAGCTTTTGTGAAAACAACTAACTAAAATCATTATTAAAAAATATTAAACTAATAAAAGTTTTATAAAATGTAAAATCACATGATGCAATATATAGATCAGAATACAACACCAAGGACGAACATCAAAAGACAAGACGACCCCACTACACTCGAGAGAGAATGACCAACTACAATCGATATGCCGCTCACAATCACAACTCAAAGGATTTAGAGTACGACTTGACCTCGCAGAAAAGGACTTCATTGAACTAGACCAATGACCACCTCGATGTTCAAGTATACGTACAGATCCGAGTAACCAGGCATCCCCTCCACGCACAATCTCCACGCCATTCCCAAGCTAGATCAGACACAAAAGAAGTTCTCCACGAAGAACAGAAAAACCTGACATAGCCAACCATTCTGAAATCAGATTTGAGTTTGTTGCGAAGACTTAGTCGTTGTCACAAGAAGAACACAACGTCTTATGTCTCAAACTCCAGCTTCCTGGAACTTCCCTAACAAAAGAGGAAACGGAAGAAAATTATGATGTTCGCCAAAAACAAACGTCCATCATCCATCCTTCGAATTGCAGAAGAACTATTCTAAAAAACTCTGTAAAACCCGGATGGGTGGAACCTGATCTAAACTACATATTATGATTGGATAAATTAAATGTTTTACCAATGTAAAGTATTTAATATTAACCAATCATGATCCATCTAACTAACAACCCACTTATTTGTAAGTGCTGAAGTTACTTGTAATTTCAGCACCAGAGAGATTTGAATTTAACTTAGAAATTAGTTGGACTCTCCCGAGCACTTCAGCAGCCGCAATAAACCAGTATACCCTAGATCTATTGAGCCTAGCAGAGACTAGTTAAACAACCTGAGACTAGATAGTATAAGAGTAAGATTAGGATCGGTATTAGACTAAGAAGTTGCACGAATCTATCCGGCCGAAAATAAGATAGCGTGACGAGCAGACGGTGTACCCTATCCGAAATTACTCTATGAGTTAACCAACTCGGTCCTAACTCAAATGGTTTACGTTAAGTTTTCAGAACTATGGATAAAATTGTTAAAGTGCGCATAAAATAGTCCAGAGTTTTTCCAAACTCGCAAAATTTTGCAAAAATGGTTGGAGGTAAAAGTATCTATTTACATTTGACTTTAGGGAGTCGATAGCTTCAATAGGTCATCAATAGCTTCAATTTAAAAAACTATTATCTTGATTGATAAAAGTGACTGAATAGAAAAAAAACCACAGCAATAATAAATATTCCGTTTTCTTCGAAAGTCGGAACAATTATCGGCCCATAAGAACAATCACTTCGCTGAACAGACCAATTGAACAATCTTAACCCTAAAACTAAAAAGCAAATTCAAGCAATAAGACCTGCCTATGCTACTTAATGCTACTTAATGAAGCGAGTTTAGCTTTTTCTAATTCTAATGCTACTATAAATTGTTCCAAAATGACCAGGTTAATCCGCACTTAAAATCATTCGAAACTTCGGTTGTTGTATTTTGATTTTCCAAAAGGCGTGTTTTTGAGAAGGCTTAGAAGCACATTTCGGGTTTTAGCGCTTTGCTCTGATACGAGCAGTTTTGCCTTCAGCTCGCTATTTTTGGAAACTTTAAAAAGCCAAAATTGATTTCAATCGTCCGCAACCACAATTAGGATGACGAGACACTTCGGTAGATCTAAAAATAATGACTTACCTTGCTCTAAGAAACAGTCATAAAATTCAAATCAAACAACGAAAAGAAGTTACCATCAAAGCATCCAATAAATCCTTGTAATAGACAACCATATAAAGAATCACAAATTTGCATCAAAAAATGCAAGTTATTATTTGGTTGAGCATCGTTAGAAATTACTCTTTTATCAAGTTAATTTGTCAAAGCTTGGTCATTGAAGAGCATTTAGGAAAGTGTTCAATGCCTAGAAGTCAATAATTTTTACCAAACAAATTTAGTTGTGAAATTTCATGTAACTTATGATGAAATTTAAATAAGAAAAATTTGAATAATGGAATGATCCAATGATTGAAAATTAGGAAGATTGTTTATGGAACTTACGAGCATGCGTTCTAGGTAGAGTTTGGCGAGCCAGCAGTTGAGGAATGTAGGCACGTACAGATTGATCAGCATCGGGTGGCCAATCTAAAACAAACAAAGAAAACATCCAATTTTTGAATCAATCTAGAAAAGTCTGGTCCATACGTGTCCACTGATGGTGTTCCCAGAGCCCTATATTGGTAACGGGAAAACTTAATCTTAAAGTTTTCACTTTCCCCGTCTACATAAGCCGATGGATACAAAATAGCAATTTTTTTTTCAAGCCTGAAGCTTGAAACAACGTTCACAATTTATTTCAGCTTGGGTAAATACCAAAAAGGCATCATCCTGTCGAGTGGCATCTCCATTAAATAAATTTGCGTGAGTTTAGTTAAGGGGGAGGGGCAGGAAGGAGAGCAGGGAGCAGTTTGTGCTGTGGTGTGACTCACGGATAGTATAAAAGGCACTGAGGTGATGAACTCGAGCATGAATTTGAAGGTCATGACCTGCTGACACACATTGCCCTTGTGCTCGAGGAAGATGAGGAGCATGGTCTCCCCGAAACAGATGAAAGCAATGAGCACCTGCACGATATAACTGGTCAGAGGCCGACTCACCCACAACAATGACATCCTAAGAAACAATATTGAATAACTGAATTGGTTAATCAGATACAGTAAATACATTGACAAAAACGCCTTGAGGGCCTCAAGAACAGTTTAGTTCATCCATCCATGACTCAAAGAAGAAAACCCTTCTTTCCCAGATCATGTGTTAACTTTCAACTAACTTTAAGTTTCCACTATGACTAAAACCTAGTACTCATTGGTCGGCTTTGGTTAATTATAATATTATAGATAGATCACCTGTTGGGTTCCGTTATATTCCCAGCGTCAAAGTTCCTCTCCTCGCACCCGTAACTGAACAAAGAAACGTAATTAGCCTTTGCGATGCGTCTTCACAAAAAAAAAAAGAAAACAAAATGTGATTCGAACTCTTTTGGGACTTATTGTATTTTCCTTTTTTGAAAAAATGATGGTATACTATTAGTTACCAGGTGGCTTTTGTGGGGTCATCATTGGCAATGGTGACGAGGTAGACAATGCAACTCACGAGTTTGAGAAAAAAGTACACAATCCGCAACTTCAGACCTGAAAGCAGATGCGAATAAAAGCGTCATCAAAAAGCTCGGGAAATCGGATAAATTGGTCCATTAAAACAAAAGTGGATAAAATTTCTAATTGTATTGCCTTATACATACATTTTTCCCTCAATTTCTAATCACTTGACTGTCGTCATCGAATTAAAAAAAAAACTTTTTTTGGGGTGTGGGGGTAAAGTTTTTTTGGATGCAATTGATGGAGTTGATGACATGGAAACATGAACATCGATCAAAAATAGATCCTCACGAAATAGCCATTGTTTTAACTCTCTTTGGGTTACGTTCAGTGCTTATCAATCAACCCTCAGGTGCGTTCACATGCCATTTCTGCAGACTTCAAAAATTTTTACCAGACTCATAAAATGGAATCAAAGTTAAAGGATCTATTCAATCTCCTTAAGAAGTTCATTTATTTTTTTTTACTTCTGCTTTTCGTTTGACTGATTAAAGAACAAAAATTTATGAAGTGTGAACTTCTTCAAAAAAAGCTGAACGTAAGAATTCGAACTACTGGCAGCTAGATCGGAAAACAAACAGCCGCAAAGTGCATTCTGTTACCGAAAGCTTATCGTGTTTATGATGCTTTCATGTTCGTATGATGTTCTTGTGAATATTTTTTGTTATAATCGGTCATTTTCCGTTATTTGTTGACAATATGCTCACTTGATCTTTGATTCTTGATAAAGTAGAGTCGCAGTCGCTCCTTCAAACTTTTTTCGTTTGTAAAAAACTCGATCTTCACTCTAAACAAAACAAAACTAATGTTAAATTGATTATTTTCCAAACGTAACAGTGCAATCAAATGTTCACACAGTTTAACTAACACTGGGAAAAATCGTTTTTTTTTTCAGAATTTTTAAAAGGTTATTATAATGTTTTTTAAAAAGATGATTATTAGGCGAGTCTCAAAAAGAACTAACTCCAAAAGAGATAGGAGGGCGCGGCCGGGACGGATGTCCCTTTTTAGGGTTTCGGGCCCCTCACCTCCAAATGTACTAATTTACGACAGCCCTTTTCGACTGAAAACACTTAAAATACTTCTGTAGGCGCATTTGGCGCCAAAATATACCAATTTGAAGGGTAAAAAAGACGCACTTTTTGTCATTAAAAACAAAGTAGGGGCTCTATAGTGTTTTTGGAGACCATGGGAAAATCAATTTTGTCGACAACATTTAAAATAAAATTAGAAGAGAAGAAGTTTTGAAAGCAGATTCTGCACTAAAATTTGATAAAGGCTGAAAGGGAACTGATAAATTTAGGCTAAATTAAGTAGTTTTTTTTTCGGCTTCAATCAAATATCATTGAACCGATTAGAACTTTTTAGTCACGTATTCCGGAAGTCACTTTCACTCACTTCCTGCTATAGGACACTTAAGCCCTAAAATATTTCCAGACCACAGCTTCAAAATGGAAAGACGCTTGTAATTGACAGTTAGACAACCCACATTTGACTGTTACTGCCATATACAGACAACCAGTGGAATCATTTGGGGAGGGAGTTGAAACTATGCCTTCATGTCTTATAAAACGCATGATTATTACGGTTTTTTCATCAGCCATTACAGATTCGACAGCTGTCATTCACGGTCTTATTCGTCAAATGTACTAGAAAGCAATTAAAGGCATCTGATTCTATTCAATTGAAGTTTAAAACGCTGTGCTTGACAACCATCACACACTTAGATTCAAAAACCATACTTTGTAGAATTTGATACGGCTTGAAGAAGCGATCGTTCAAATACTGAACAAAAAGATTACGATTACAGAAACCTAAAGTAGAACACAAAAAGCCGCATCCAAATCTTCAAATGGCTTCTCAAGTTTCATGATCTTATCAGAGAAATTGAAAGGAACTTTCTCTGAGCTTTCTAATTGTAATTTGAATTTTTTTTTGAAAAATAAGAGAAATCATGTCATAGTAAATACCGATCAATGCCATCATCTAGAGATTCTTCTAAAAAATCCATCCTTTGCGAGGGCGAAGCGTTGTCTATGATTATATCGAATCGATTTGATTCCAATGACCCCCTTTTCGGAACGTTTGAATTGTCTTGAGGTTTTCCAACATCATCAGGTTTCTTTTCATCTACAATTGAATAAGGAGAAGCATAAGGTAGGCTCTCTATCGCATCGCGAGAAGTGTCGCATATCTCATGGTTTCCGGGAGGACTCCAGCCTGCTGGGTTCCTCGGAGGACTTGGTTCTACCAGAGAATCCGAAGACCCGTCTG